CGAAAAATGAACAACGGTATAATTTGCGGAGAAAGGCTGCGCGTTTGTATGAGGTAGGTGATTACGTTGAAATTCGTAATGTAGAGGCCACTCCTGGCGTTAATAAAAAGCTGTTACCGAAGTTTAAAGGGCCTTATGTAATAAAGACTGTTCTCGATTGCGATCGATGTGTAATTACTGATGTAGAAGGGTTCCAGTTGACCCAACGACCGTATACTGGTGTCGTAGCGCCGGATCAGATGCGACCCTACATCCATTAATAATTTATAGCGTTTGCGTATTTCTTGCGTTAACTGATGATTCCTTGTGTTGGTTGTGTTAGTTTTAAGCCTAGTGGTAAGTTTTGTGAAACTGTTGTTTTGTGCACTTGTTTGACCGGGACGGTCAATAAGTCAGAATGGCCGAACTGTAGGCATATTTGTGTGAAACTATTTGTGTGAGTGATCACGCTTGTCTCGAGTGTTCTCGTCCTGACTTGTTCGTGCGGGACAGCATGGGTAATGGAAAGTTCTGGCAATCGGAAGTAACGGTTTTTCGGGATCCGTTGATTGGTCGCGTATGATCTTACGATCGCGCATAATTGGTTATCGAGAGATACCCTCCCCCCCCGCAGGGAGGGGAGTGTGCCGGGAGCGCGAGCATTCGTGACGAGCAGTGAGAATTGAGATTGCGAGTAGATTGAGTGACGACTACAGATTTCATCCTGGACGACGACTACAGATTTCATCCTGGACGACGACTACATTATAATAAATAAAAAATATTTTTAAAAATAAGCATTTGAAAAAAATTATTAATTACTTTAAATAATTAGATTTATATGAATTATGAAGAGGAACTTGTTGATATCTTTAACTTCAGATTTAAAAAAAAATGTTTTTTATGACGAATGAAACGTGAGTACATAATTTAAAAACATATTTTTTTAATCTGAATGTCACGTCCGAATTCGCGTTTGCTGTTGATGCGAGAGACGCGACCGGGTCGGTGGAGCGCGAGCGCGGAGCGGGGCGCGCGGGGCGAAGCCTTGGCTTCAGAAGTTAAAGATATTAACTAAGTTCTTCTTCATAATTTAAATAAATAACATTATTTTAAGTAATAAAATAATTTCTTTGTTTGCAATTACTTATTTTGAAAAATATATTTTTTTCAGTATAATAAGTTATTATATTAATTTCTAACTAAATATTTTATTTTTTTAAGTGTTTCACATATTTAATCATAAAAATAATAATATAATTTTTTATTCAAATAAATTATTAAATAAAATAACATATTTCTGTAGAAAAAATAAGTATTTATTTAAATCAAAATTTTTTATTTCAATGTAATGTATTTTTTTTTTAATAAGATAAGTGTCATTTTGTCAGTATAAATGTGTAAATAAATTATGTGTTCATTCTATGTACAGTTCAATTTGTAACGTTTAATAAACGCGATTGTATGATTTATTTTATTTCTTAATATCCGATGACTGATTTGATAATATTTGTTTTTTATTTTTAAAATAATATTTTTCTACAATTATATAATAATTAAATAAAAAAATTCTCTAAATGAAATAAATATTTATTAAAGTTAAAATATTTAATTTCAATGTTATGTATATATGTAATGTATAATGTATATATGTATTGCATAATGTATAATATATTTAATGTATGAAATCAAGAAAAATTTTTTGTTACTTTAAGTGTTAAGTTATTCGCGCTCTGCCCATGATTGATGTTGACCTGTCAGTGAGACTTTGTATAGGACAGGCATAAATTTAACAATCAATTATTAATTGTTAGTTTAGTTTGGGATGAGCGCGAACTCTCTCTCTTTCTCTCTCTCTCTCTCTGAACTTAAAAAAAACTTTCTTAATTACATAAGAATATAAACATTACATTTTTGTTCAAAAGAACGTTTTTTTCTATTTAATAAATTATTATTTCATTGAAGAAAAATGTCATTATTTTTAAGATAAAAATTACATACATTCTGATATATGTAATTTTTGGGTCTGACCAGTTATCGAATCTTAGCAAATGAAATAAATCTTACACATCTTTATTGATATCATAAATTAAACTTTACTTAGCTTGAATATTACATTATTTGCTTATTTGCGCATTTATATTACGACAAAATGCCATTTTTTAAATAAAAAAGATATATTGCATTGAAATTTAATACTTTGACTTAACAAAATGTTTATTTTGTTCGCACAAATGCTTTATTTTCCCTGATGAATTATTTAAATGCAGAAAGTGTTATCATTATTTTTCAGATTAAATATATGCAACGTTCAAAAAAAAATTTAGGTACAAGTTAAAAAATATTTATTATAATAAGAAGAATGTGTTTTTTGAAAACAAGCAATCGAAAACAAAGAAATTATTTATTACTGTAAATAATTTATTTTATTTCAATTTAAAAAAGGATTTAATAGATATTTTTAATTTGAAATTAAAAAAATATGTTTTTAAATTTTTTGTGTACATTTTGTTAGTCATAAAAAAACATATTTTCCGATTCAATACGATGCCGATCAGTGTATTCCAAGAATATGTTTTTTTCGATCAATAAAATGTACACATAATTTAAATGCAGATTTTTTTAATTTTATATTAAAGATATCAACTAAATTCTTTTTTATAATTCAAATAAATCATATTATTTATAGTAATAAATGATTTCTTTGTTATCGAGTGCTTGTTTTAAAAAAATACATTCTTTTCATTATAATAAAAATTTTTTAATTTTTAAATAATATTTTCCTTCTTTAAATGTTGCAAATAATGAATCTTAAAAATTATGGTTACTTTTTTTATTTAATTAATAAATTATTAGTTGTAATAAAATATTTTTTCACTCGAAATAAATATTTAATTAAGTCAAAGAATGTAATTTCCACAAAATGTATTTATTTAATTGAAAGATATTTTTTTCTCAGTGCAGGTATAGTATAGTTGTCATATGCACGCGCGCGCGCGCGCACGCAGAGAGAGAGAGAGAGAGAGAGAGATCCATTCTAACTTTTGCATTAAAATATTTCGGAAACTACAAGGGGTACAGAAAAATATTTCAAATGAAAGTACAACAGTTTCAGTATTTTGGTCATTATGTTTTTCTTCTAAGTGAAGGCACCAAAAAGATATGAAGATCACCTCCACTTTTATAAATGGAGTTGTATAATTTCTTCAAATAATATGATTCCTTTAATTCTTTTGCATATGAAGGTATAATTATATAAGGCAGAAATATTGAAATACTAATACTTTACAAGGTATTTTGTATCTTAATCTGGTACATGTTGAAATAAATTGTTATATATCTTGAAAATAATTAATTTTTTTATAATTACATCTTATAATATACTTTCAGGAATAAGATAAAGAAGTGAATCAAATAGTATAATGAAAACACATAGTTACTTGTTCAAAAAGTTATTACCCATATATTCTTTTCTTAAGCATCTATGTCTATTCTTTACATCAACTAATTCATTTCATTATTTTGTTCGTAAAAGTATTAAGGTACGATTACAAAAAATTAATATTTAACATGTGCCAGAATGAAATATAAAATATCTCGTATACTATTGATTGTTCTATCTTTACCTTGATACTTTTATGTACAGAATAATTAAAGGAACATATTGTGTAAAAAAATTTACATAATTCCATTAAAAGAATTGACGTACATATCCTGATACCTCCATGTAGAAGAAAGCAACTAAAATACGTTCTTGAACGGTTTCACTTTCATGTGAAATATTTTTGTACCTTTGTATCTTTCGATGCCAAAGTTAGAATGAGTGTGTGTATGATTGTGTGTGTGTGTGTGTGTGTGTGTGTGTGTGTGTGTGTGTGTACATATATATATATTTTAACAACTCTTCGAAGACGTTCGTACACTGCATCAAAATGGTAGCCTCCCAATTAGAGGGAGAAGAGGTCGCGGTAGACCATCTAGACGTCGCGGACGACCTGCAATAAGATTAATTCAAGGAATGGAAGGTGAGAATTGACATATTTTTAATCATTAATCGCTTATACGTATTTCTTATTTAGTGTATTTATGAAGCTGACATATCATATGATAAGATTTTCATTGTTATAGATATAGTGTCATTTCTCTGGGCTGATTATATTTTAATTTATCATTATTACAGTAACTCCGAGTGCTAATGAAGAAAATGAAAGAACGGAGGAACCAATCGCAAGTATAGAATCTATTGGAAACATGACGAATGAGAGCATAAATGAAGGTATATTATATGTACATATATTTTATTCGTATATCATGAATATTATTGATAGTTATACAGTAATATGATATTCTTATTTTCTTCAACTTATTTTTTATATACTGGAGATGATTAATTACGTTATATATATACGCGCGCGCATGGATGTGTATTTATTTTTTATCATTTTATGTATTTATTATTTTAATAGCTACATCTGATGATATTCGCCCATCTTTTCAAATTACTAAACAAGGTAATAGAGAGTCGGAGAGACACAGCAGCCTTCGCAGATATCGCGGACGGCGCGGTAGACTTGCAAGATTGAATTCATCTAATCGAATTCAACAAGTAAATGGTGAGAAATAACGCGTTTATAATTCATCGCTGATGCGCCTGTATTATTGAATGTATTTATAAAGCTATTATATGTGTTATATGATATATATCGTATGTCATATGATAAGATTTCCATTGTAATAGACTCATTTTTTAATCTATTGTGTATTATGTTTTACCATTATTTCAGGAACTGCAAATACGGTGGAAGAAACCGGAAGGACAGAGGAGTCACTAGCAAACACGGAATCTATTGGAAATGAAATCATTGAAATTTTAGACGAAGGTATTATATTATTGTATATACATATTTTATTATTGTCTTATACCGATATAGGAACATTGATGTAACAATAATAAGATTGGAAGACCGCTTATGTTAAATACAACTTTAAACTTGAGAAGTGCCACAACGGTCTGAACGTTAAGATGTTGAACTATTTTAAATCCATTTTAAATGAATTAAAATTCAAAAATTATAATTGCGTGCCGATATGGTTGTCGGACTTTCAACACAATCAAATCTGAAATATTAATTAAAATAAGTTTAAAATAGTTCAACATCTTAACGTTCAGACCGTTGTGGCGCTTCTCAAGTTTAAAATTGATGTAACATATGATAAAATTCCTATAATTGTAATAGATATGTCAAATTTCTAGTCTGTTGTGTGATTCATTGTGGTTAATCATCGTTTCAGAAAGTCAAGAAGAAAATGTAAGAACGGAGGTCATAAACGTGGACTCTAACAGAAACGAGACAAATGAGATTATATATGATGGTATGAATGTATTATATAAAGTACATTTTATATTTAATCATTATAATTTCATATATTCTTATAATATTATCAATTAGTAATAAAATTATTTTGTTATGTTGACAGATGACCGTATTTATGATATCCCGGAAGACGATTTCAGTACTCTCGGCATTGGTTTATATGAAGACGAACGGGATGATGTACCTTATCATCCTATTCCGTCGAATCCAATATCTGCATTAGGTGAACGCATATATGGTTCATGTTGTACATGCTTGATCACAAATGCCACTCATATGTTTGTACCATGTGGACATTTATGTATTTGCACTAATTGCAAGGAAAGATTGGAGGACAACAAATGTCCGTTATGTCGAGTCGAATACATCAGTTGTATTCGCGCCATTATCACGTAACACTATGGAGAAAAAGTTACGACATGCTACAACCCAGCGCTGCCATTCAGTTACCTAAGTCACTTTTTGTCATTTTTTTTTACAAGTCACTTAAAATCACTTAATGATTATATACAAAATTTGTATATCCGAAGAATACTTCGCCAAAATGTTAAACAATGTTATACGTGTAAGAGTTTCTCCACAATACAGTTGTAAATACTTATAGTTATAAGTATCGTATAATTTTTTTATTAAAATTAATAAATGTTCTTTCGATGATTAAAATGACAAACTTATTTTTCACAAGTAAAAATTTAGAGCATATAATGGTCGAAGCTGTATCTTAGATTATTTCTATGTGAATTCATATATTACATATGTAGTCATTGGAACTGCGTACTGAATTGATTTTTGAGCACATTAACGTCTTTCAAATAGAGTGACTGAGCATCAAATTATTAAATTGTTTGTCAATTTAATTTGTGATATTACTATATGATAGTTTCATTGCGTTTATAAGTCCAGAAAGCCAATTCGGTGCGCCGTTCAAATGACTACATATTTAGTATATTATAAATTCACATAGAAATTATATAAGCATCTACTCTCTAAAAGTGAATTAGTGTATTATTACTGGTTACATCAGTTATAAGTATAGCACTGAAATCATCAGCGAATATTTAC